GTATAGAGGAGATGTTTCTATAAGTAGGAAAGACCAGGTCCTGAGAGCACAGCCTTAGAGTGAAGGGACAACCCTTTAGAACTGAGATGAGGAGAAATTTCTTCAGCCAGAGGGTGGTGAATCTGTGGAACTCATTGCTGCAGAAGGCTGTGGAGGTCAAGACTTTGAGTGTATTTAAAACAGAGATGGACAGGTTCTTGATTAGTGAGGGATCAAAGATTACGGGGAGAAGGCAAGAGAATGGGGTTGAGAAACATATTAGCCATGATTGAATGGTCGAGCAGCCTAAATGGGCCAAATATCCCAATTCATCTCCTACATCTTATGGATTTCCCATGCACCAATTCTGATCCCAGTCAACTTAAGGTCTTGCATGCAGCCAACCTTGCATCACAGATGTGGGCAAACAGTTGACCTCATGTCAGTAGTAAACTCACCAGAGCTTGTGTTTGGCAAATTGGCCATCATCCATTCAACTCCAATGATGTAGCCAACAGAGCCATCACTGAACCAAGAGGACAAAAACACTGGAGATTCCTGCATGATGATGTACTTCTGTGTTTGCCACACAGTCTTATAAGGCGATGTCCAATAACAGTCTGAGGAATGGGAGGTGGAACCTGTTCAGCCACCTCCCTTAACTTGCATCAGGTCTTACTGCTACAATCTGGTGCATTTTAACATACAGGTATCTAGCTCAAGGTGGGAAAAGTGAAAAGGCTTTGCAGTGGAATGTATCAGGCCCTCAGGAAGTTTATGCCAGATCAAGTACATAACCTCTCATTTAGCGTTTAGATTTCTGGGTGTGGGAAATGCTCCCTTTTTTTCTGTAAGGCAGAGGCAGAACCCATCATGTTTGACATCGGCCTTTGCTACTTATACTCTACAGGCAGCTCCATTAATTGGGCGGGGAATTTGCCTCAACTCTCGTTAAGATATTTACATTTCCGTGTAGCATCAAGTTTTTCACTATTGTTTAAAATACGTCCTAATAGCTAAAAGGCCTTCATTGTTAAATATCATTTATATTTGGTAGGGAAAATGAATTGGAAAGTTCTTAAATAAAGAAAGCAGCTAGACAACTAGTTCTGTAAAGGATGACAGTTTTAAGACTGTAACATGAAAAGTGTACTGTCTCTGTACACAGACACACACATGGAATAAGAAAAGGCAGAGAAAAAGGGAAGATGCAGAGTTGAAATTAGAGAAAAATGTATTTTTTTCCCTGCTGATCAATAGAACAAAGGGCATAGTCTCAGAATAAATAAGTGCCAATTTAAGACTGAGATGAAGATGACTTTCTTCTCTGAGGTTGAGTAACTTTGGAACTCCTTGCCTTGTGTATATATAAGGCTGAGAAAGATAGATATTTGATCAGTAGGAGAATCAAGGGTTATGGTGAATGGGCAGGAAAATAGACATCAGGAATGCTGAATCAGCCACGATCATGTTGAATAGTACAGCAGGATCAAGGGGCTGAATGGCCTTCTCCTGTTCCTATTTCTTATGGCCTGAGGTCTAATTGGGGATCACTTTGTATGTATAAAGCACTTTGTTTTCTTGTCTCTATTTTAAGATATAATTACCCATGATTCAGATAGGATTGTTTAATTTGAAGAGATGATGCCATTCCACTAAAGGTGCATAATATTGAAGACATAACATTACATTTATGAACAAATTAATTATTTAAAATTAATTAATTATAAATTCAAAATTAATCCAAAATAGATCACAATATCCTTGTCATGCAGTTTTGAAGAAGAGATTTAACAAAAATGCAAACAGCTAAATCGCTTTGTATTTGCAACAACTGTGTAGTATTGGAAATCATTTGCATAGCCACAGGGACTATTTTCAGTCTGAGAGCAATGAGGTTAGGACCACTGCATTTGGAAACAACATATACCTATAGGGCATAAAACTGATCACAATGCCTCAAGGCTGAGTTAATTTCTTTAAATTAATATTCACTGTTCCTTGTAATAAATGCTGGAAATATTAAGGCCATAGCCTGGGGATAATTGGGTGCTGAAAACCTTTTAAAGGTCCTTTCAAAGGAAAACAACATAAAATTTTAGGAATTGATACTATCTTTGTGTTCAAAAATAAAAGCAAATTAGTAAGCTACCTGGCTCTGCATGAAAGAACCTATCATACATTTGGAAATAAATCAGCAGGTAATAAAAGGAATTTTAAACTAGGAACCCATTTTTTGAATTAAGACAAACATTACTGCAAGAGCAACTCTTACAGCAACTATTTGAAATAAAATTGAGAGTCCACAGTAATCTTCAGGCAACTAAGATCTGCTACTGAATTTTACCTAATTTACATAAAACTCAGGACCTTAACCTTGAGCTTTGAGCACAGTTCATTTGTACATTAAGTGCAATGGGCATTAAGTAGAGAAATCAACCAGACAGGATGGGTTAGCACCACTATCATCACGGTCGCATTATTGGCCTCAGGGAGCTGTGGCAACAGTATTAAGTGCCTTTTAATAGTGTTAAAATCTGCTGTTTATTAAAAGCTCTAGAACACAATGTCTGAGACAGTCATTATTTTTCCGAATTCATACATTGCATTGCCACTGTTCCACATTGAGTTTCAACTTGCACTGGTTCACAATGTTTCCTATATAGTATCTTTTATATGTCATCTCTTACAAAATATATAATCACTCTTCAAATGTAAACAATAGTGATTCCGTGAGCCAAAATATAATATCAAGTTGTTGATAGTGTAGAGAAGAAACTTGTTTTCATGTAAAGTGTCTCGTAACCATGGTACCCAGTAAATGTAACACAATTTATCCCTTCTGTAAGCTGTATCCCAGCAACTAAAAGGAGCTTCAACATTGCAGGAAATATTGGATGCCATACAGATTGTTCTTTTGAAAATTTGTTAACACCTGGGAGACCAGGTCTGGGCAACAATCTTCCCTGGAACTGTCCAGGGTACCAGACAGATCTTAGCTGCATTAAATATGCCAATCAGGGCCTGTAAATCTATTTATAAACCCTTGTCCAAAATCGTTTATGAACGACACATACTTCACACAGCTTTTCTAATTCTACTACAACATTGTCAGTGGTCTTTAAACAGGTTGCTGAACTCACCTACAAAAAGATGACTGACATTTTCTTAACTCTATGCTTATGTGGAGGTAGTGGGGAGGTTTTGTGGTGCATCAGGTAGCGTCCTTGCCTTGAAGTCAGAAGCTATTGATTTCCTCACACCCAGGACTATATGGCCTTAGTAGGATTGTTTATCACGTGGCCAAACAGGTCGATTTTCAACCTGTAAATTCTGCCATTTTGCGTGAAGAGTAGGAGAATGTCTTGGATTGCCATGATGCAGAAATATTGACAAACCACTGCAGTACTTTTGCATGATGGACCAGCATAAACACAATGGAAGTCTAAGGTGGTACCCGAAACAGAGAGAGAGACAGAGAGAGAGAAAAGGAGCAAAGTTGCTCATGTTCATTCCACAAAACTATTGCTAGAAAAAGCTCTCTGACACCAACTCACTTTCCCCCTTGCCTTTATACTTACTCAGTGTTGCAGAAGCTGAGCTTCTTGAGCATCTGCATCTGGAGCAGTAAGATGACTGATTGATATCTGAAACTTGCTGCCTTTATGCAGACAAGGCCCAAAACCCAATTTACACTGAACCTTGTGCATGGGTGTACGTTTTACATGCTTCCAACACTCAACAAATTACTTCATCTATCAGCAATTCTTTCTGAGACCAAAAGAACTGCGGATGCTCTAAATCAGGAACAAAAACAGAAGTTGCTGGGAAAACTGAGCAAGTCTGGCAGCACCTGTGAAGAAAAATCAGAGTTAATGTTTCGGGTCTGGTGATCCTTCCTCAGAACTCTGATTTTTCAGAGTGCTGCCAGACCTGCTGAGCTTTTCCAGCAACTTCCATTTTTGTTCATACTTTGTGAGACCTTGTGCCTGCTGTGGGGTCTTCTGAGACAAAACGGAATATAATAGTGGTTGTGTTGCTAATAATTCTCCATCCATTGCCCTAATAAGTCAAAATGTTTTACAGCAAATCCCTGTGTTTTTCAGTAAGTTTCCTGTTAAGTTCTAGGGTTTATTCAAAGGTGTGAAAGCTCAAGTACCCATTGATTTTATTTTACAACACTTCCATTTAAAAATACACTGTAATGGTATTCCAGAAAGTCAACTGGTGAAAGACAGGAACTGAAACTAATCTTCAGAAAATGTTGTAAGTGTTTATTTACAGGAATACATGTCAAAAGTATACACCTCCTGATCCAACAACCCAGCAGCTCAAGAGGCTCCACTCAATCGAGGACAAAGCAGCTCACTTGACTGGCACTCATCCACTAACTTAAGCATTTATTCTGTCCTCATGTGCACAGTGCAATAGTCTGAACCATATGCAAAAGGCATTGCAGCAACTCACAAAATCTCTTTGACAGCACCTTCCAAAGACACAACCTCTGCCAGCTAGAAGGACAAGGGCAGCAGATTCATCACCACCACCTTCAAGTTCCCCTCCAAGTCACACACTGTCTTACCTTTTTGTCAATGTTTTCTGCATTATCACTGAGTTTGTCTTCACATTTCCCTCAAGAGTAAGAATGGAGAAGGAAACGTATTTGACAACCCAGCTCTGCCTGCCATTTAAACGTTTCCATGTGCTGGGATCCTCTCTACCTCTTCATTCTCCTTCTGCCTAATCTGCTAGTCCAGATTTCAAGCCTCCTTTACATCCCTATTCCTCCTTTCACTTAACCTTGAGTGATGGAGTGTTCACATCTTGGTCTAAAACATTTGATCATTTTTCACCTTAATGACCTCTCTCCTCTCCTTTCAGATGCCTTGTGAAAACCTGGCTTTTTGAATGCACAGTTAGTCACTGTTCTAAATATTCTGCTACTGCTGTATTACTGATAACGATCTGAGTTAGGAACCTTGACTGATTTTCCTATTCATAACTTGAGGACAGTAAGGCCTACTGCCACAGTTCTGCTGCTGCCCAGCAGATAGCTAGCACAGCATTGAGCAGATAATCAGGCTGGAGATCATATTGTTACCTTTCCTGCTGTGCATAGGTCAGAATCGTACAAGTGTTCATTCACTGATAGATTTATAATTTGTAATCTATTAGAAATGATAGCACAGAAAATACAATCTATGACATCGAAGGGGGTCTGTAATAAATTGAAAACTGCGAAATAAAATATGTTTATCCAAAATTCTACATGCAGTGTATATAGCATAAAATCACTGTCATAAGGAAACAAGTTAAAGTATATAACCTACTTCATCTTAGTTACAGCCAAATATATCAGCTGCCAATTATCCTACATGTAATACACATTAAATGAACAAAAGATTATTATAAAATATACTTAAGTGTGCACAATATTGGCAAAATCTTCTGATGCAAATATATTTCAAAACATGGTCTTTCTATGAAACATTTTTTGCTTTTAATCTAAGCCAAACATATGTTTACCATGACTGATGAGTACAGATTTCCAAAGTCATATGGTTTGAATGAAGCCATTTATTAGGTCCAGACTTGAGGTTTTCAAGACTCTGAAATTAGAAGCTTAACGTATTCAAACTGCCTAAAGTTATGTACAGAAACTAGATGTGATACTTCCTTTTTGGGATGATTCTGTGAATTTAGAATTGTGTTTCATTTCTTTCAAAATGTTTGAAGAAAAATGGATTTTGCAGAGTTGGAACTGTTTTCAGTGTAATAGAGATAAATAAAAGTCAGGGATGAAAGCTACTCAGTTACATGCTTGAGTACAGAACCAGAGGAATTTGAGAAGTTAAGAATTTTTTTATTACTTTGCATTTTGAATCATAAATTAACGAATGTACTGAAACCATATGTAAAATTTTGTGAAAACTTTAGCAACTGCTATTCACTGGGAGGATGGTAACTTATCTGCTATTGCTTGCGTGCATCAAGTGATTGCATTTGTTAACTGATCCAATTTTTCCCTAAGCAATTTTGCCCTGACAGCCCAATGGCCCATCTACTTACCATGCAATGCAATTATCATTTTAATTGCTTTCAGTTTTTCTCCATCACTGTTCAAAATGGAAGTTGCTGAAATATTAGAAGCACAACTATTGAACTTGCAAAGTAGCAACTTCAAGGTGTGTCTGGGTGTTGACATTCTACAGGAAAGAACTGCCCACCATTTAAGGGCACAAAAATGTGGCTGAAATTTGACTTTAGTTTCAGTAAACAGACGTGAGAGCAAATGATTTGAGTACTCTGAATTTAAGCCCAAAACTTCAAATCAATTGCTAAAACCTGCATATTTGGATTTGAATTTGCTTTCAGGATATCAGCTCAAGTTTACAACAACAACATGTACTTATACAGAAACTGAAAGAACTGTGGATGCGGTAAATTAGGAACAAAAACAAAGTTGCTGGAAAAGCTTAGCAGATCTGGCAGCACCTGTGAAGAAAAAATCAGAGTTAATGTTTCGGTGACCCTTCCTCAGAACTTGTATAGCACCTTTAACATAGTAAAGCATCCCAAGACACCTCACATAAGCTTTTGCAAATTTTTTATCAAACCACACATTGAGATATAAGGGCAATGATCAAAGGTTTGATTAAATTGGTAGATTTTAAAGATCATTAAAGCAACAAAGGTAGACAGGTTTAGGAAGGGAATTCAAGGGCTTTGGTGGCTGCAGACAAAGCTGTCAGTCATGAAGAAACTGAAGTAAAGGAAATTTAAGAGGCCAGGATTAGGAAATTGAAGATATCCGGGAAGTTTATAGGGCTGGAGGAAATAGGGTGGGGTGAGGTAACAAAGAGCTTTGAAAAATATGATCAGAATTTTAAAAATAGGGCATTGCTTAATTTGGATCCAGTGTAGATCAGCCAACATCGTAGTGACAAATGCAGACAGCAGAGATCTGGTTGACCTCAAGTTTATGGAGGACAACAATGACATGGTTAAGGGTTTCAACAACAAATGAGCTGTGGAAGGAGTGGCTGTGGGCAAAATTGATATTGATTGAAGAGGTAGAAGTTGAAATTTAAACTAACTTCAACAATTTCACCCATTTTAAAAAAATGGACGTACAAGGGTCCCAACCTGAAATGTCAGCTTTCCTGTTCCTTTGATGCTGCTTGGCCTGCTGTGTTCCTCCACCTCCACACTTTATCATCTCTGACTCCAGAATCTGCAGTTCTTGCTATCACAGTGATATACACGCACTGCAGCCTTTTTCTTGCGTAACCTGAAATTGGTAGTTTGATAGCCAGTTTAGAAATTGATCTGAAAATACATGTGTTGTTTTAAGATTGTTGCTTCCTGTGCTATAGTAGAGGTGCTTTTATTTTGCACTCTACTCATGCCACATTGTACTGCAGTTTATTTGATACTACCACTAAATACCAAAAGTAAATAAACATTCTTTTCATCAGTTTTGATGTACTTGTTTTGATACTAATGAACAATTGTCTCCATTCTCCAGGGAAAAAAAATGACTTGTATTGTCTAAATTAAATGCACCACCAAAAACCATAATTTTCACAAATATCAGCATGTGTAGTTCTGATGAGACCTTTAAATTAAATGTAACTACAACTTTGAACTGAGTTATCATGAAAGCTTTGCCAATGGCTGCATATTATCAGGAAATGGGACAAATCCTGCCATCAGGATCTAACAACCACTTTTGGCCCACCTGCATGCAGAACTTTGTGTAGATGCTGGTCCTAACTGACCTGGAGAAAGGTCAAATACAGACGAAACAAACAAAAGCCCTCAACTCCATTCTCAAAAACTTGTGCCCTGTGATTCTGATTCAATCAGTGGCTCATCCATGCACAGTTAAATGTTCTTACTACTTAAAATCATAGAATCCCTACAGTGTGGAAGCAGACAATTCAGCCCATCGAGTCTGCACCGACCCTTTGAAGAGCATCCCACCCACACCTATTCCCCTACTCTATCCCTGTAACTCTACATTTCCCATGGTCAGTCCACCTAACCTGCACATCTTTGGACTGTGGGAGTAAACTGGAGCACCCAGAGGAAACCCATGCAGACATGGGGAGAATGTCTGTGTGGAGTTTGCACAATTGCCCGAAGATGGAATTGAACCCAGGTCTGTAGCACAGTGAGGCAGCAGTGCTAACTACTGAGCCACCGTGCCGCCCCAAAAACTTGAAAACCCTCCTCATCTAATTCCCACATCTCTTTACCCCTCAACCCCATGCACCCTCAGCCCTTCATCCTCAATCCCACAGGACCTTTTGTGCCCTCACCCTTTATGAACAGAATTGACAAACTCTATAAGAAATGTGGTCTGGTTGTACAGAACCTCAGTATTGCTGAAAAAAGACACATTTTGTTGAAGCTTTTCTATTTGCACCCATCAGGACAATTCGTAGGAAATACCAATGTAAAAGCAGATCAGTGCATGTGGTTATATTGGATTTTCTGAAAACTTTTAATAAAATCCCACATAAGAAGTTATTGTGCAAAATCAAAGCACATAGGATTAGTGGAAATGTCCTGGCACAAATTGAGAACTGGTTAGTAGTCAGGGAATAGAGAGTAAGAATAAATGTGTCATTTTTGCAGTGGAAGGCAGTGACAAGTAGGGTATCACAGAAATTAGTGCTTGGGCTCTTGGTGTTTCCATCTACTCACAATATATATCAACAACCTTGACGAGGAAATGAAATGCAATCTTTCCAAGTTTGCTGATGACACAAAGCTAGTTTGAAGATTGAGTTATATTGAGTTTTGAGGAGAATGTAAAGAGACATCTTGACAATTTAAATGAGTGAATAGGCAGGTGTATGGCAGATGCGGTATAATATGGATAAGTGTGAAGTTGTCCACTTCAGAAGGAGAAATAGAATGATAGTATTATTTGAATCATAATGGATTGGGAAACGTTATGTGCAAAGGGACCTAGGTGTCCTTCTACATTGGACACTGAAAGCAAGCATGAATTTGCAGCAAGCAGGAAGGCAAATGGTGTGTTGGTCTTCATTGCACAATAGTTTGTGCACAGAAGTAAGGCAGTCTTGCTGGAGCTGTGCAGGGCCTTAGTGAGGCTGCATCTTGAATATCATGTGCAGTTATTGTCTTGTTACCCAGGATAAGATGCATTTGCCATGGAGGGAGTGCATTGAAGATTCACCAGACTAATTCCTAGGATGGCAGGTTTGTCATATGAGGAGACTGGGCTTATAATCAGTGGTGATTAGAAGAATGAAATCTCATTGAAACACAAATTTCTAACAAGCCTGGTCAGATAGGATGCAGCATGGCATTTCCCCTGGCTGGAGGGGTCCAGAACAGCTAGTCACAGTCCAAGGATATGCGGTAAGCCATTAAACACAGGGATGAGAAATTTCTTTACTCAGAGGATGTGGAGGCCATGTCAATGCACATATTTAAGAAAGAAATGGATTTGTAGAAACTAAAAGATGTCAAGGGCTGTGGGCAGAGAATGGGAATATCATGCTGAGATAGAGCATCAACCATGATCATACTAAAAGTTGTAGTGGGCTTGATGGGTCGGATGCCTACTCCTATCCTTATGTTCTATGTTTCTAATTAACTTTATGGTATTTGAGAGGGGGAGTGCTGATCAGTTAACAAACAGATTTTTATTGGTAAGAGGTGTTCCCATGAAAAATGCACCAGTTAAATGATGACTGGTAGCTGCCAAGCTTTGTTGAAATTTTAAAGCAGAAAGATTGACTCTGATTGGTGAAAACATTGTCCTGAAAAATGAACCAGAGAATGCTGTTACCAAAAAACAAACACAGGTGCAGTGTTCTTTCTGTCTGCAAAGAATAGAGCTCTGTGTATTAATGTGTCTTTTCTAGTATGCACAAGTGCACTGTGCTGCGAGCCTGACAGACAGACCAAAATTGGTTGTTGACATAAGTCTTAACACACTCAAGAATTTTTAACAAATATCATCCAACTGTGGAATCTCATCTAATGTTTCACATTGTCTTGAGTTTTGCAGGTATGATTGCTCACGGTCAGTTCTTTATTTGTTGCAAAAGGCTGAAGGGATGTCCTGTTTGATACCATCTGCAAGCCTTTGGACATCACACTATAGCCATCACACTAACACTGAAATGCATTTTCCACATTACTTATTCGTGTGATAGACTGAAAGTCTTTTGGCTTGATGTTAGGATCTCCTTTTCTGTGGAAGGATGCTCTTGGTCTTGAGGGAGTGCAGCAAAGGTTTACCAGGCTGACTCCAGGGATGGCAGGACTGATGTATGAGGAGAGATTGAGGGTTAGAATTGTTTTTGCTGGAGTTCAGATGAATGAGAAGGGATCTCAAAGAGTCTTATAAAATTCTAACAGGACTAGACAGGGGAAATGCAGAGGGTATGTTCCCAATGGTGGGTGTATCCAGAACTAGGGGTACCAGTCTGAGGATTCAGGGTAGACCATTTAGGACAGAGATGAGGAGACATTTCTTCACCAAAAAGTGGTAAGCCTGTGGAATTCATTATCACAGGACGTAGTTGATGCCAAAACATTGAATGTATTCAAGAGGCAGCTAGATACAACACTTGGGGCAAATAGGATCAAAGGTTATGGAGAGAAAGCAGGATTAGGCTAATGAGTTGGACAATCAGCCATATTTGTGATGAATGGCGGAGCAGGCTCAAAGGGCTGAATGGCCTCGTCCTGCTCCTGTCTTCAATGTTTCTATTAGTGGAGAACATTACTTATGGTGCTACTGCATAGTAGGATCAAAAACAGCTAGCTTTACCTGTTGCGCAATTTTTCAGATACCTTACCCTTGAATGATAATCTGAGGTAGACTAGGCACTAAACCAAAAATGACAGCCTTGGATTGACTCATAAATTTGTGTGATATACAGTGAGAAATAATCTGATCAGAGTAACCATTATCCCACATAACAGCTTTGATGTTCTCGGTACATGTCTGGACAGAATGTATAAAAGCAATGGGAAAAGATTATATTTTGCACATTGATATCATACCAGACTATCTTGTCAATGGTGAGACATGCACTGTACCTGTTTTTCCATGATATGAACATTATTATCTGAAAATTCTTCCAATTTACATGATTAATTCTTTACTTGACATCTTACCAGTTGGCAGAGGTGACAATCTGCAAAACATTGTTTTACGGGTAGTTATATTTTTCAGTCACATTGTCACAACTCACCTTACTGAACACAATACAAGTTATACTGCC